GAGAGGGGGAGGAGAGAGTCAGAGAGAGGCAGAGAGGCAGAGAGGCAGAGAGGCAGAGAGGCAGAGGCAGAGGCAGGTGAATCTGAGTTTGAGGCCAGTGTGGTCTACAGAGCAAGTTCTGGACAGTTAGGGCTGCACAGAGAAACCTTGTCTCAGAAAAAAAAAAAAAGGAAAAAGAAAAAAGAAACCGCACAAACAGGGGCCAGCTGTGCAGGAATTGGTTCCTGTAATTGGAGAGGCTGCAAAGTGTGACCATCTGCTACCTGCCAGCTGGAGACTGGAAAGTCAGTGTATAATTTAGTGAGTCTGAGGTTTGGGTTCAGGGGAGCTGATGGTGTAACTCTCAATTCAACAGAAGAAAAGAGAAGCCTCAGCTCAAGCAGGTGGGAAGCAAAATGGAAAACATTTCTCTTCCAGTTTTATTATATTCAGCTTTTCCACCAATGGGGAGAAGGGGGAGTGGCTTGCCTTGCTGGGTCTCTGCTCTAATCACACCTGCATTTCTGATTCTATTTTTTTTAAAAATATTTATTTATTTATTTATTATGTATACAGTGTTCTGTCTGCATGTATCCCTGGAGGCTAGAAGAGGGCACCAGATCTCATTACAGATGGTTGTGAGCCACCATATGGTTGCTGGGAATTCAACTCAGGACCTCTGGAAGAATAACCAGTACTCTTAACCACAGAGCCATCTCTCCAGCCTCTTCTGTTTGTTTTTTTTCTCTTTAAGATTTTATTTATCTATTATGTATACAACATTCTTCATCCATGTATATCTGTACACCAGAAGAGGGCACCAGATCGAATAACAGATGATTGTGAGCCACCATCATGTGAGCCATGTGGTTGCTGGGAATTGAACTCAGGACCTCTGGAATAGCAGCCGGTGCTCTTAACCTCTGAGCCATCTCTCCAGCCCTGTTTCTGTTTTAACTATGTATTATTCCACTGCTTAGAAATTCTGTGGTGAGATCACTTGAAAACATGCTTTTAAAAATTTAACTTTTGGGGAATCTTATACACGGATACCATGAATTGTGATCATAATTGATCCCCCTCATCGTGTCTTGTCTCTCTCCTGTTGACTCCTTTTTTCCAACCAATCATGTCACTTTCATTTCTTGTTTTTTTTAAAAGAAAATAACCACATGCTTTTAATCCCAGCACTGGGGAGGCAGAGGCAGGTGGAACTCTGTGAGTTTGAAGCTGGCCTGGTCTACAGAGCCAGTTCCAGGACAGGCTCCAAAGCTACACAGAGAAACCCTGTCTCGGGGGAAAAATGACCATGAAAGTACTCAAACAATATTTTATATGTATGACTATTTTGCTTACATATGTATGGGCACCATTTGCATGCCTTGTGTGACCAGAGATAGAAGAGGGCATCAGATCCCCTGGAGTTGGGAGTTATGGATATTTATAAGCTGCTATATGGATGCTGAGAACTAAGCCATCTCTCCAGCCCCATCTTTTAAAAAATGTTAGTTTTACATGTATAGGTATTTTGCCTGCATGTGTCTACCATGTGTGTGCAATGCCCGAAAGGGTGTCATTCCTGTACAGAAGAGTACTCTTAACCCCTGAGCCATCTCTTCACCCTCTCATGCCTTTTCTTGAGACATGGTCTAACTGTGTAGCCCTGGACGACCTGTAGCTGGCTACGTAGATCAGGCTGGCCACAACCTCACAGGAAGATCCCCCTGACGCTGCCTCTTGAGAGCTGGGATTAAATGTGTATGACATCATGCCCAACTCAACTGTCTGTGTGTGTGTAGGCTTTGTGCAGGTAGTAGTAATTATTGCTATTCACAACAATGGCATGTCATGTTCAGAATGCAGCATTTCTAGCACCTCCCTCACCCCAATCTTACACCTGTTCTGTTCTATTCCTCGGTGTTCCCTAGTCTTAGAGGAGGCAACAGAAACATCCCACTCAGGACTGAACATTCAACAGTCATTTCACACTTATGTTTAAGCCCCTAAATTAATGCTGTTCTCAGCTTTGGCCTGAGAAACTTTTTATTGTGGGCAGTGGTTAATATAGAGACTAGTAACTGAAAACAAATGCTTTTTAAAAATGTGTATGGGGGGCTGGAGAGATGGCTCAGAGGTTAAGAGCACTGGCTGCTATTCCAGAGGTCCTGAGTTCAATTTCCAGCAACCACATGGTGGCTCACAACCATCTGTAATGAGATCTGTTGCCCTCTTCTGGTGTGCAGATATACATGGAAGCATGTTGTATACATAATAAATAAATAAAATCTTTTAAAAAATGTGTATGGGGCTGGGTGGTGGTGAAACATGCCTTTAATCCCAGCACCGGGGAGGCAGAGACAGGCAGATCTGGTCTACAGAGTGAATTCCAGGACAGCCAGAGCTACCCAGAAAAACCCTGTTTTTTGGTCGGAGGTGGCATTGGTCCCAGCACTTGGGAGGCAGAGGCAGGCATCTCTATTCTTTTTTTTTTTTTGGGGGGGGGGCGTTTCGAAACAGGGTTTCTCTGTGGCTTTGGAGGCTATCCTGGAACTGGCTCTTGTAGAATAGGTTGGTTTTGAACTCACAGAGATCCTCCTGCCTCTGCCTCACAAGTGCTGGGATCAAAGGCACTATGCGCCACTACCGCCCGGCACGATCTCTGTTCTTGAATGACCTCAGGCTTGTCCTTGGCCTGAAGTCAGGAGCTGGTTAAGAAATAATACAGAAGTTCTTTCTCCTCGTAAGCTTCTTTAATGCAGCTTCACTTTCTCCATCAGTCATCCTTCGGGCCTTAACAGATCTTACTGGAACCTACTCCATCACTCACACGGAGAAAAAAGTTCTAAGAGCAGACATAACTGGCTATACTGGAGTAGTTTGCCCCTGGCAACTGTAGGACACATCAAACTGCTACCCTTTCCTCCAAGACACCTTACTCACAGCCTGCTCATAGTCAACTCAAGTCCAGTTAAACAGTTCTTTATTTCTGCATGAGACACAGCGATTGTTAGAACCATGGCCGGGCCCTTCCCGTGCACTCTCCAATGGAAGGAAGGGCTAAGGAGACTGTTTCAGTTCACTGATATTCAGCTTATGAAATCTACTGCCTGCAGAACACTCTGATACAGCTGGCTGAGATGACACTGACGGCAGAGATGACAAACACAGTGAGCCTTACATGTATGTGCAGTTCGGTCTGCTGAGTCCATGTTTCCTACAATCCATGCTTGCTTGGGGCTGGGTCAGCTTCAAGTGCTGGCCCGCTTTGCTCCAATGCTCTTCTGACTGCTTGTCTTGGAGGCAGAGGACATTCAGACTGACTGGGAGCTGGTGGGGGCTGTGCTCTTGGCAGCTTGTTGAGCTAACCAGTGCTTGTATCTTTTGGTCTTGGGCTTCTGAAAGAGCACTACGGACATAGGAACCCTTACAGTGTCGAGTCCATTTACCTGAACACACATTCAAAACAGGAATAGGCAGAGATCAGTCAGGCAGAACCAACACCACCCAATCCAGCTTTTTATGTTGACTCTTCTCCCAAACAAAGGTAGAAAATCCTTGAAACACTCACAGTCACATCACACCAGTACTCGCCCCACCGCGTGATAGGGTCCTCTGGTAACTTCAGAGCATGTGGGGCAACCACAACACCAAGCTGAAAAATAGAACCAACACCCAGATAAACCAGCGGTTCTCAACCTTCCTAATGCTGCGACCCTTTAATACAGTTCCTCATGTTGTGGTGACCCCCAACCATAAAATTATTTTGTTGCTCCTTCATACGTGTAATTTTGCTACTGTTATGAATTGTAATGAATACTGGATAAGCAAGACATCTGATATGTGGCCCCTGTGGATGCCATGACCAATAGGCTGAGAACCACTGAGATAAACCCTTCTACTTCAGCCTCCAGGCAATCTCATGAAGACAGCTCTGCTCTGGAACTTCCTACACAGAAATGAATACATCTGGGGAACTGACCTCGGGAGAGCACAGATGCCCACAGGTGACATCAAAGGTGGTAAATATGCAAACAGAACAGGTCTTGAGACCAACACTATGTCCACAAAAGCGACAACTCTCCAATAAGTCACATCTCCCCAGGTTCTTCCTAGCTAGAGATAAAATAAATGGAATTGCTTTTTCCTGTTAGCCTTTAAGTCTGCAACTACTTTAGTTCTTAGCTACACTCCTCCTTTCTCCCTGCAAACCAACCAAGAGCAACTCCCAACTCCAGCTGGTAAAGGGTTCAAATCTGGGTCTCCTACCTAGAGGTGGCTCTGACCTAGGGGGATGCTGATGAGGGAACACTCACATTCTTGAAGAAGTGGCGGGCAACTATTTCAGGATTTAGCTTCCATTTGATGTTGTTCTTCATTCCCACCTCTAGATGACAGCTTCTCAGAAATTTCACTGTCTAAAAAGAATTATAAATAATGGCTGGGTCAGTAGGAGTTGAAGTGAAAGGGGGGAAATATGTTAGAGTCATGGGGAGTTCAGGAAAAGGGCATATTTTTGCTCTGCAGCTAAGATAGGTGAAAACAAACCATTAACGGAAAAAAAGAACATTCTTTTTTCTCAACTCTGATACGGAAAAAAGATTATTTTTCAAGACTTCACAAAGGATTTCATCTCCACCTTGCTGTTTCTTTTCTTTCTTTATTTCTTTCTTTCTTTCTTTTTTTTTTTTAAAGATTTTATTTATTTATTTATTATGGATACAACATTCTGCTTCCATGTATATCTGCACATCAGAAGAGGGCACCAGATCTCATTACAGATGGTTGTGAGCCACCATGTGGTTGCTGGAAATTGAACTCAGGACCTCTGGAAGAACAGTCGGTGCTCTTAACCTCTGAGCCATCTCTCCAGCCCCCACCTTGCTGTTTCTAGGCAGAGAGACATAGTCTGTATTAAACTCAGGGTTTGGATTGGCAAAATGGCTCAGTAGGTTAAGGTGCCAGCTGCCAAGCCCGATGAGCCGAGTTGGCCCCAGGACCCACACAGAGGAAGGAGAGAACTGACTCATGCAGGCTGTCCCCTGGGTTACTCATATATCCTGCCCCCAAATGCATAAATATAATAAATGTAGGGTCATCTATGAAGGTTCCTACTGTATCTCAGGATGAAGTGACTCTTAATAGCCTTTTAACCTGACACTTATGGAATTCCAATTCTATTCTCACTCCATCACTGGCTCTTTCTTGCTTATAAAATGAAGTATAAATCACTTGAAGATTCAAGCTAATTTTTACATCTTGTCCCAACCCTCTTTCCAGCCATGTATTTTCTAATACTACACTATATAAACCTGTACTTTAGGTAGATTAGACTATCTTCATTTTAAAATATGCCCTAGAGCTGTTGATAGACATGTGCCTAACATACATGAGGCCTGGGTTTGATCCCCAGCATCCATAACTGGCTTTTGTGGTAACAGCTGCAACCCCACCAACTGAAGGGTAGAGTAAGGAGAATTAGGTCAGGGCAGGCCTTGGCTACATATGGAGTTCAAGGCCAGCTTGAGCTAGATAACACCCCCCCCCAAACACACCTTAAATATTCACTCATACTTCCTAGTTTGCCCCAAACTAGAAAAAGCCTAATTTAATACTATATATATTAAAAAAAAAGTCTCCCTCCCCTCAATAACTCCAAACCCACTCGGGCCCACATAACTCCTGCTCTAACGCCTTCACTTTACTGTTCACGTTCTTGTGTGCCTACGTTCTCTTCACCTGTAAATACTCCCAAAAGGCAGAGTCCTCATCTTACATTTTCCCACAGATCCTGATTCCCATACTGGGGACTCCCTCAAAAGCTAGAGCACTATTGGCAAAGAATCCCAGGCCAAGGATGTCAGGCAAGAAGGTAGCAAACTAAAAATTTGGCACATTTTCCTAAACAAAGTAAAAAAGCATGCCTTAAATGCCAGCACTTGGGAGGTGGAGGCAGGCAGATCTGAGTTTGAGGCCAATCTGATCTACAGAGTGCCCAGGACAGTCACGGGCACACAGGGAAACCCAGAATTTCTAGAAGACTTCATACCAGCTATGTAGAGTGACAGCCAAAAAGCTATTCTGTCATCCTTGTAACAGTAAGCAGACGAAGGAGACTCTCAGGAGGTTGGTGACTTCAGTAAGGAATTAGTAAAAACTTCCTACTTACCGCCTCTCCTGCCTTCGTCTGGATCTTCTCCAGTGTTCCTTCTTGTCTCAGCTGAAAAAGAGAAAAACTGAGTAGAAGAAATGTGCCCATATTAAGTAATAACACTCCAACTATGCTGGGCTTCTGGGTTCTTGTTCTAGTTCCTACTCCATCTTCAAATTAAGTAACAAATTCCCAGCAGGAACCTTAATGTTTTATTACCCCATATCCTTTGGGCTCACCAATCTCTCCTCTTCAAACAGCTTCTTATTTTCAGGGGATGCATACACAGCCAGCCCCTGAGGAAGGAGTTTATTTCGACCCACAGACTTCTTCACTGAGACCAGATCGCCCCGAACTCCAATTTCTGCCAATGAGAACATGAATAGTTGAAAACTCTGCAGGAGTCCCTACAGAAAGACGGACCATCGTGGGTACTGGTAAAGGCCTTGCCTTAGCATACTTAGGCCAGAAGATCAACCAACTGGGGGTGGGGGCATAAAAAGGGACAGTGCTTATTTCCTCACAGATTTTAATTCTTCCTTTAAAAGAATGTCAATTCAGGGCTGGAGAGATGGCTCAGTGGTTAAGAGCACTGACTTTTCTTCCAGAGGTCCTAAGTTCAATTCCCGGCAACCACATGGTGGCTCACAACCACCTTGAATGAGATCTGGTGCCCTCAGCTGGCATGTAGACAGAAGATGTATACATAATAAATAAAATCTTAAAAAAAAAAAAAAAGTCTTCCGGGCGTTGGTGGCGCATGCTTTTAATCCCAGCATTCGAGAGGCAGAGGCAGGCGGATCTCTGTGAGTTCGAGACCAGCCTGGTCTCCAGAGCAAGTGCCAGGATAGGCTCCAAAGCTACACAGAGAAAACCTGTCTCGAAAAACCAAAATAGAAAAAAAAAATGTCAATTCACTGGGGCACAGAGGACCCGAGTTTGGGTGTGGTCCATAACCTTAGCACTTTAGGGAGGAAATAGGCAGATTCCAGGGGCTCAGCTCTATGCCCTGTATCAGAGGATAAGTTGGACCTTTGGCCTTCTCCCCATCACACGTTTATTAGGAACCACAGTTGTCACAAGTCTAGTTTAAAAAGCGGTGCAGACTGAGTTGTTCAACCAAAGGATTTCATTATCTGCGATGCAAACTGTTGGGTTCTCTCTTCAGGGTAATTGCACACACGTTTTAATTTTCCGTGCTGGAGGCCAGCATCTAAATCACAGCACCTTTTCTGACGTCTTATTTTCACCGGAGCCACAGAGTAGTAAAAACAAGGCAAACAAATGAGGAGAAGCAGGAGAGGCTAACGTCACAAAGGAGCAGCCCAGGGGAGGGGGTCAGCATCCGGGCCCAAGCCTTACCGTCCACAGACTGCGTGAGGATGAGCTCCAGGTCATCTTTGGGCCGGTGTTTCGTGTCCTCCACCAGTTTATAAACGCGGTGTCGCCGGTGCAGGCGCGGCTTCCGGCCCTCCTTGGCGAGCGGCACCTTCCACCAGC